ATTCATTTTTTTATTATTATTATTATTATTGAGTACCTATCCTATGCCAAGTTCTCTGCTTGGTACCATGGCAAAGGGCAAAGAGGAGTCAACTGGAGTCTGGGCCCCAAGACTATCCTGGAGGAGTTGAGTTGCACAATTACAAAACAGTATGGTGTCTGAAAGACACATGAGACAGAAAGAGAAGAGACAATTTAAAAAAAAAAAACTGTCATGGCTATTTCTGGGAGATTCCCAATGGGAAGAGATACAGAGTTAAGCCAAGCAGGCTAGAAGCACGTTTGCCATTAAGATGGCCTTTCTCTGCCTCAGGTCACCCAATCATCTCTGCCTGCTAGAGCAGCCTTTCCAAACTGCCAAACTACTCTCCCTCACACAGATGGCAGAGCTAGCGAAAGGCAAGGAGTAGGACTAAAGATGTGTACAGTCATTGGCAGTTTGGAAGCTTTTTTAACCTTGTTTTTTGTTTGTTTGTTTGTTTGCTTTAACTCTGGATGATAGTTGTACTGCTTGCTTTCGCATACACCAATGGCATGATCTTATTGAGTGAATGTTTACTAATTGTCTCCATAGAGCACTGTGTTAAGAGATACAGTAAAGGACCAATATAGATTCTGTCCCATGGTACTTAAAGAAAACTTATAAATAGTTAGAAGTTAGTACATAGAATTGATGAGAGAAGTTAGTGCTATGGGTGTTTGGAAGAAGAGAAAATTTCTGGCTATATGTTGAGAGGGAAAATAAGGCTCTTTAGAAGAGCCTGAGTAATTTCTTGACTAAGAAACTTCGTTGGGCATTATGGAGTCACTTAAGACCTTTGAGTTTGGAAGTAAAATACCGATTGATATGACAGCAATGAGCAGGCTGGATTGAAGGAGGCAATGCCTGCAGGCACATCTGTTTGGAGACTGCTGCAAATGGGCCCAAACTCATGTCACAAGGAGATGTAGTTGGCAGACATCACAACTGGAAGAACTGAGAGCCTGTAGGGAACATGAGAAAGAGAAGAAGCAAAGATGTCTCACAGTATCTAGCATGGGTGGATGGGAGGATGGCCGTGCTCTGAACAGTAAAAATGATCACAGGAGACGAAGCCATTTGCAAGGGAAGGTAATGAGTTGTCTGGACTCTCTGGGCTTAACAAACCTAGAGCACATCCAGCTGTCAAGAAGTCAGAAACAAGGCTGTACAGCCCAGGAGAAGAGGAAAAAGGTCCCAAGAGGTTCACTAAAAGGGACAGTTGAAACCATGAAAGGGACTACTTATGATTTATTTCCATTATTAAAACACACACACACACACACACACACACACACACACACACACACACACACACAAATTAAGTGCCCATAGAGTTCATTCTATTAGGATTTTACTTAGAGATTTATCACAACATATAGATTCCACAACAGAGTATTGTGAGATTGAATATGGCTTAATTTTTAAAAGTCAGGGTTATTGTTCTAAAATAGCTTCTGAGATAATTTCAGGACAAAGACTCAATAATCTTTAAGTGACACATGGAATTTGAAGCAGTGACCTCATTTATATTTTATATTTTCAGATATTTCCATCTTATACTTTCTCAGACTTGAATTTTGTTTTGCTTGAATGTTCTAATTCCTGTAACTACATCATAGAAAACTTGGAAAATAGAGAAACATGAAAAAAAAAGAAAGTAAAAACACCAATATTCAAACACCAGGAACTAACAACTGTTTGGAGCTTTTTCTAACATATTCGTGTGTACATTTGTACACATATTGTACTCACATGTCCACACACACACATATATATATATAGACATTATGAAAATGATTATATAAATGATATATGAACATATGAATTTTCTTAGTATTATGGATCACATTGTATATTCTATTTTATATCAAATTTGTTTCAGTTCACATTACATTTGAACATTCTCCATGTCACAGTTCAAAAGTGGTTCAAAAGTCTTCATGTTTATATACTGCATAATATTTCATTCCATGGGCCTATCACAACATTGAAGCATTCTCTTGTCAGTGGGCAGGCAGTTCAGCAAGATGAGGACTTGAGAGGATCTGGTGCAATGTCTTTCTTCCGCTTACACCACATGAGTCCAGAATGACTGCTTCCTCATCGTCATGTTCCTCCCACCACAACTCCTGATGTTGGGGATTTAAGAGGGAGTCAGTTCGTTCCTCAATGTAAGAAGTGCATGAGTGGTCAGAATCATTAAGGCAATAAAGAATGAGCAGTTTTACCCTCAAACAGCTGTTTCTTAATGTCTTCCCTTTGTGATTATTTTTTAAATCATTTTTGCCTCCTTCACCACTCCCCACCCATTCAGATATATGTAAGAATACATGCACACAAACACACAAACAAATCAAGACTTAAACAAGGGAAGAACTTAAAATCTCTAAATAATATCCTTTTTCATCATTTCTCAATATGTACACTTGCCTAAGATAAAAGACAAGCAATAGAAAATTACATTTTGGCAACATTGCCTGCCCCTCTGTGACAGTGTGGTGAGAGGCCAGGGCCATGGCATGAACCCCAAGAGATTGCCGAGCCCATGCACACGAATATGCATGAACAGCACTGGATAGAGCACCATTGTTTTGATATCTTTCTGTTTTCACAGGTGCCATAGAGTCATTTCATGAGTCTTCACTATGACCCATGCCATAGAAAGACAAATATAGCTATAGTTTTGCTGAATCTAGTTTTAAAGCTCCTTGTTCAAACAAAAATGTAATTTCCAAATCAGTTGAAAGCAAAGACCAACATCTTGAAATCTATGCATTCCCCTTTGTTTCTTTTCTAGCCTGTTTCCTTCAGTATTACTGCCTCCATTTTAAATATCATCAGCTGATAAATCAGTTGACAAAGATCTGTAACACTTCATTCTAATATTGAGGGCAACAGATTATAGCTATAAATTTTTTCAGGAGAGAAGGCAGTGATATGCATTTCTGACTTTAGAAATTGATGTAGACATGAGTAAAGATATTAGAATTAGCTAAAATATGACTGCAAAGTCAGTTTGATTTATTCTTTAATTAACTGCTATTAGGCTATGTTTCATTTTATTAAAAGAACTTTAGAAGGTTGGAATTAATTAAAATATAGTTCTTTTAGAAAGAAAATGCCCTTAATTAGTGAATGTAAGAATTACCGGAAAGAGATAACAACAGATATGATTAGCCATTCACATCCGATTTCTTGTCTGTCAAAAGAAGGCAGAAAACAATGGGAAGTTTCTCTAACTTGGAAAAACAGGGAGAAAAGTTTAATGTTAATATTCATTCCATTCTTGTGTTAGTACAGTGACACTTTGAGCTTCCTCAAAAGATAACGTTGTTACTTAAGAGTAATACATACATACACCATAAAAATTTAGTCATACAAATGAGTACAAAAACTTTAGTCATACAAATGAACATAGAAATTTTAGTTAGGTAAGATAAATAAGTAAATTACTACTCCAATAGTTGTCCTTCTTAGGAATAGAAATCTATCCTCATAGCTTTGTTTCCCATTTTATTTCAAATTTAATTTCTCTCATGTATCCTTTTACCTTTCAGTAATTTTTTCAGGAACTGCCTTCTTTATCTCTCTCTTTCCTCCTTATGATCTCCATTTAGTGCTATCTTTTTTATCTTTCCGATGCGCAGTATAACCAGTTCACTCTTTCTACCCAAAGACTTAGGTTTGCAAGCCATATTTTAAAAATAAAATACTATATCAGAGGATGGGATGAAAAGTCTTTAATATAAACACATATTGAATATGTATACATAAATATATACCCATCCACCCAGGGATACATATAAAATACATGAGTTCCTTTTGAATACAAAAGAGAGACTTCCTGTCATGTGTCTTTTGCAAAATAAGCACCCTCTGTTCATGTCCTACTATATTCTGCCCCAGAATGATATCTGTGTATTGAGCTCTGGCTCCTACTCTTGTTGCAGGGTCTGTTGTACTAGCTCTTTTATCTAAGATTCGTGGGTCATAAATCTTTCACAAGCCAGTGGACTCAGGAATGAGAAAGTCTTGCCAATGGAGACATTAGCTGACATCAATGAGATAGGTTAGTGTAGTTTATTGGAGTCCTAAAGGCCCCTGGGGACATCCACACAGCCTCTAATATCATTTCTTGTGAATCCATTAGCCACACAGTCAATCATGTCATTTCTTATGGCTTCTTAGTCTCTATCTCTAAATCTCGGATTTCTCGGGGCACTAGGTATATTACGAATAGTCATGGTAATCACAACCATCACCCTAATAGCAGTTAACATTATATCACATTTTATAGACAAAAAAAAAAGTCTTTCATATTTATCATCTCATTTTAACTGCCCTACCTTTATTTTGGTAGGGATCTTGCTTTTGCTGTTAGTTACATATTATATTCACTAGTTCCCCTTCCCTTGATAAAGTAACCAAGTGGCTGCTTTCCAGCTATTACTAAAATCCTTAGGTCTGCCAAGAGAAGAAACCTATTTGCTAGGTTATATAGCAAATTATGTAATATTGTCAATTCCCAGGTACGTACTCTTACATATAGCTATCTCTTTCATCAGAAGTGAGACAGTAACGATAATTGCTTGGTGAGCATCTGGAAGTAACATTAATAACGATGATAATAATGACCTCATAGGATTTATAATTTGGGGGATTAAAGAACATTTACAAGCTTATTGTGTCATAGTTAATGATGAGGTGCCAAGTTTTCTTGCCACCACCCTTTCCAGTGGTATTTCCTGCTTGGATCAGAGAACTAATTATAGTAAATGGTGCCCTTTCAAAGAACTTGCCTCATCCTAAAGCATATGCTAGCATAAAGATATTGAACTGTTTTCATATTGTTTTTCAGAGACAATTTATTAATGTTGTTTTGCATTTGTCTAAAAAAAATGTGTATAATGTAATCATTTAGTGTTTATTTTATTGTGTGTACCTTCTACTCAGAGGGTTGGCATTATTGTTCCTAACAGTGACGGATACAAGCAGATCATGCCCTATGACCTCTACCATCCCCTTCCTCGGTACGTAATCCATCATCCTGATGATGTTAGAATTAGTCAATCGGTCTTTGCTTCTTTCATATGTGTATAGAGATTTTGTGTTTTTCTGTAAAAATAAGATGGTAGATACTGTGTTTTCCAGTCCATCCTGAGCTCTGTTTTTGAATAATACGGGACTGCTCAGACTGGAAGCTTATCATTCAAAAACTATTTTAAGATAGGATCATATTCCATTGGAGTGGACACAGTAATTCACCCTGATTGGATACAGCGTATGGGTTTGTGTTATGTCTTTCTTTCATTCCCTTTCCTATATTTCCTCTGCGACTAAACCCTAGTCATTAAAGCACTGTTGCTAACTGTTAAACAAACAAAGCCTGAAGTATTATCGCAATACCACAAATGTGGAATTCCAGATGTGGTATTACTCTAAATAGAGGCTTTAAATATTCTCTTTTTTTTTTCCCAAAGAAATGATAATTGAGTACAAAAAGGCAGTTTTTTTTTAAATATTCCTATTGTTCAGAACATTTGTGGGGACTTTTTTTCCGAAACATTTTAAAATTCCATGCACGGTGGTGCTTTTTTAAAGTACAGTATTTTTTTAAAACTAGAAAAATAATAAAAGTGATTGAGGAGCTTTTAAGAGAAGTTATTCTCTTTATTAATATATTCATAAGAAAACTGGAGAAGCTGAAAAGTATGCTGGCCGCTGCGTGTACTGTCGGCCACGTTGGAAACAACCCTTCAGGGAGCAGACATGAGAAATGAGTTTGAAATCACCACTGTGCTGAGACCTTTGCTCTCTTCTCCTGGCTTGTTAGGACCTCAGAGAGACAGCTGCTATTTAGAACCCACGGTTTAAATCAGATCACAAGGACACTGGGTGAAAATAACTCACAGTAGTTTGCTTAATCTCAAACTAAACAAGCCCAGAAATTAATTTTATTCTGAGCTATAAAATAAAGTTTGAAAATCTCCAAATATTTAGTGAATTAGAATCCAAGTAGAGGTTTTTGAGGTCATCTACTCCAACACCCCAATGATGCTTCATTCTCCGACTCATTGCTCCCACATCACCCCCGTATACCATACATATATAGACATATATATTTACACAAATATTCATATATATATTTGCAGTTAATGCATATGTATTTACACATGAACATACAAAAACGTAGATATTTTTTTAATACGTATATACTAGTGCCAGTTTTCATCCAGGCTGACTAGCAGGAAACTCCCTTTTCACCATTCTAATGATAGCACATAGAGAAGAGCCTTTGATTTATACCATATATAGTTTGGGTTTTTTTAAGTTCTTCCACGAAGGGATTACCTCAGTAGTCAGCTCTCTCCTGCTTTTTTATTTCTATATTAATAAAGATGATAAATGACTTTAGAACACTACTGATGTATCATTTGGCTGGTTTGATCCAGAACCAAACTTACACAGTAAACTCTTCTTCTTGAAAAAATAATGGAATGAAAATATAAAAAGATTAATTTAACTGAACCAAGACTTTATTTGATTTCAATTCCTGTATCTATAAAATAAGTATCCATAGGACCTATGTATCTATTTGTGGGAAGGCCATATATTTCAAGACAAAGGCAAAGTTGTGTGTCGGGGTGAGCAACAGCAAGTTTATGTCTTTCCTATAATGACACTCCTAAATTTCTTGTGTATTTATGATCTCTCATGTTTATATTTCTCTGGTATGATTAATGTCTGTCCTAGATTAAACTTGATTTCTTCTGTATTTGGATTCTCCCCAAATGCCTGAAGCCACTATTCTCAATAATAGATTAAAACAAGCCTCCTTAATGTCCTTTTGCACCTGTCCTGTGTACACATTGGCCTGTCCATGCATCTCACTGGGAAAGGACAATTAGCAGATAAACTGTATTTCCTACCCCTTGCACTTCTGTTACTGAACTAATTCTAAAGTTAGATATTCTGCTTTACTGATAAAGTCTTAGTAAATGAAAGATTTTTCTACAAATATATTTTCATTTCATAAGAACTGAGGCTCAAAAATGGTTCTCAGATGGCAGCTACCTGCTGATCAAGGCAGAAGGCTTCACTTATTGAAATTATTTAAATGAGCTTAAGACCACAGTGCAGATACAAAACACAATCAACGGATTTTTAGATTGTTTTTTCTTGCTTTCAGTTTTGACTGTAACACTTATCTGAACATAATATAAAAAGATAGCCTGATGAATTATCTTTAATTCATAATTAATACATACAACTTTTTCACATTTTTAATTTCGAGAATTTAAAATTCTAAAATTAAAAGCCAAATGAGTTAAAATATTTGATATATGAACTCATTTCTTATTCTTTCACAGCAAGATTCTTGGATATGCTTTTTTCCCCCAAACACTTACCTGCTCCCTGTTTTAACATATCCTAACTGACGTCCTCTCTCACTTATTGTTATACTTTCTTTAAAGCACCCACACACATTTTGCTTTGAAATTCTTCCTCATAACCCTATTATTTTGCAAGGATTCACATTATAATTTTTCACATATAAAACTATAGTTGCATGCTGTAACCATACTATAAGTTCTTCGAATAATAGTAGCATCATTTGTCTTTCTGTGATCACTGACATTGAAAAGGATACTTATTACTGTTTATAAAATTATGAGTCAGGCCCAAATACTGAGACAGAAATTAATAACTCTTTCTTTAGAAGGGTCAAGTTTAGGGATGTTAGAGTACCGATTAGAAAATGTGCTCCTTTTATGGCATCTTAATGTTCTAAGAGATTAAATGTACATTCAAACACATATTCCCACTTCAGTGTCAGATCAAATCCAAGATGAGTACGTACTTACACATTCAGCCCAGTTTCAGTGTGAATCAGACCTATTTTCCACCTCCAGAGGGAAGCTCCAGAGATTTACGTGGAGACAGATGAGAATTGGTCTTACCTTTCTGGAAGAAAATCTCTCTACAAAGCTGCTTCGTTCTCTTGAAAGGATCAAAAAGTTTCCTAAGGGCTTACCAGAGTCCTCAGTTTCCCCATAATAACATATTTTTATGTGTCTCCTGGGGAAATAAATATGCATAGGAAAATATTGTATTTGGCAACAAGTTTAGGCTGTTGGCAGTGAAGATAACAGTTGTTGCCTGGACTTGAGCAGTATGAAGAAAATGTGGAAGAAATTCTCTGTAACTGGGAAACACACATTATCTGGTCTCGTGAACAGAGAAATCAGGACCACATGTACATGAAACCCTACTTATAGAATAATTAATGTCTCCATGGTATGCCTGTGCAATATTTTTAAATTTAACTATTCAAGTGGATCAACTTGGTAACACTGTTTTTTTTTCTCATTAAAATGATCTCTCTCGTAAGCCTAAGAGAAATCTTAAAGTTCCCTAGTAATCCTCATCAACAAGCGGAATACTTGCAAGAAAGAGTTTAGTCCTAATGTTTCTATATTTACAAATTCTACATTCTCAAAATGTACAGGAGGAGAGAAAAAAATCAGACAAGGATACTTCTCTGCATCTGGTCCCAAATGCTTCAGAACTGTGTAGCGATCTAAAAACTCAATGGAATTCTCTTAAACATTATCGATAATATTGTTATTTTCTCTTTTATCTGCATCTGTAGATTCCAATGCCATCAGCCTTCCAATCAAAACCAAACTTCACAATTCCAGAAGTTCTTTACTGGGGGAACATTAATTGAAAGTATCCCTCAAGTTAGAGAACAAGTAGATAATGCCTGTATTAACACTTTTACTCCTTAATGTAATGATGGCACAGTTTGACCATCAGAATCGTGCCGAATCCATGTAGTCCAAAAGCTGATGCTTGTAGAAGCAAGGGAGAAAGAGGGTGTGGTTTACCTTGATCTTTCATGAGCTTTTCATGTAAAAGCATTCAGAAGATAAGCAATAAAGTTACTTAGCTTTGAAAATAAAAAGTATCAGCCCAGGTACAAACTATAAATGTTAATTGATTAACCAATTTTAGTCTTGACATAAATATTTAGTGGTTTAATAGAAAAAATATATATGAAAAATATATATTTATAAAAAAATAATACACACACACAAAATATATATATTAAAACCATAGGAAGAAGGACTGAAGAGCCCTATTTTGAGCAGGTTACAGACAGCACAGATATCCTAATGAACAGCTCTCAACACAGTAACTTCTTACATTTGCATAGAGCTTCAAGGTTTACAGAGCACATTTGCCAGTGTTGACGCCTTCTCTCTTACTCATCAGATTTCAGGCAATAGATGGCCTTTGGCTCTCTGGACCATAGCGTCTCAGAACCTGATGGTCCCTATAGGCACTGGGGACGGGGTTGGTCAGAAAGGTCACTTAGGAGGTTTGGCAATGTGCATGTCTGCCCTGATGACTCCCCTTGCTTCTGTAGGTGGGAGGCCACCCCGTGGACCGCGTGCTCCTCCTCGTGTGGGGGGGGCATCCAGAACCGGGCAGTTTCCTGTGTGGAGGAGGACATCCAGGGGCATGTCACCTCAGTGGAAGAGTGGAAATGCATGTACACCCCTAAGATGCCCATCGTGCAGCCCTGCAACATTTTTGACTGCCCTAAATGGCTGGCACAGGAGTGGTCTCCGGTAACTGTGCCTTCTTTGTTTGTTTGTTAGGAAAATAAGTCCACTCTTCCCTCTCACTGTCATGACCCCTGGCTACCCTGTGCAGCTCCCCACGTTTCCTCTTGAGGTGTCTAGCGGCCTACCAGTTTAGGTCCTGGAGTAGGCATGCCCTGAATCCAGCAAAGCCAAATGGAAATGAATGAATATATATACATATTTTCCTTCAAGTTACTTCAAGAAGCTTCTATCACTCCCCATAACGTTCCCTCAAGGGCAAGGGGAGGCACATGTCTGTCAAGAGTAACTGAAACTGAGTGATTAATCCTGAATCTGTGAAAGCTGCTCTGGTGATAGAGCTCAGTAAACCAAAAGTTTGGTGTCATTTTTTTATTTCTTATCCTCTGTCTATATCCAAAAAGGGTCTGAGTGGATTAAAATTCAAGCAATGTATATTATTCATTGAAAAAAAGATGAAACAAAAAATCATAAAATAATTAGAATGGTGATGAAGTAGAATAACTAAAACTAATACATTCTAGATGTTAGGGAAGCTGCTTCAACCGCTTAAACATAGAATGATTATGATTTTGGGTTTCCTGGCTGCTATAGCAAAAAGGTTTGAGATGGTAAAGGAGATAGAAAGATGAAATAAATCATTGTACCCCCAGCCACAGAGATGGCAAAAGATTTTTCACTTTAGCTATGTGGCTTTGTGACAGCAGATCAGAGCTGTAACATTTCTCTTTATCTAGACTTGAACCTGGGCATGTAGAACCACTGAGGTGCTGTCTACATCTGGCTATTGAATCAGTTCCTTTAAACACTCCCCCCCACACATCAATATAATCAATTGGATCAGCCAGGCTGCAATATAAGTTGAAAAACTTTTTACATCCATGCGGGAGCAAGCGTTTCCCATATTTCAGACCTAACAATAATTAGCAAAGTGACTAAATAAAATGAAAATGCAGTGTTGGTAATCAAAATTGAGCACACTCTACAGTTTCTTTTCTGCTTTTTGCTGCTTGGTTTGGGACTTTGCACACAGTGGGTGCTTAAGAAATGCTGATTGACCCAAAGCTAAGAAATTAAAAGTGATTTAATTTCCAGCCAACTTCAAAATAAAAAACCAAGTAGAACAAAGATCCCATGATAGGTAAGAAGTGGTATAAATCCACCAGGAGTCCTTATATAAAAGCAGCCCTTTAAAAAGTTTCAGGTGGAAAATGATGAAGAGTAAACAAGGCTTTGCCTGTGAGTCTCCTCTCTCTTGCGTTCTCCTTCTAGTGCACGGTGACATGTGGCCAGGGCCTCAGGTATCGTGTGGTTCTCTGCATCAACCATCGAGGAATGCACACAGGAGGCTGTAGCCCCAAAACTAAGCCCCACATAAAAGAGGAATGCATCATACCCACCCCCTGCTATAAACCCAAAGGTAACTTTGCGGGCGTTCTGTTATCAATCTTCTCATTGTTGTGTGTACTCAGGTGCTGTTTTAAACTCCTGAGAATATTCTTAAGTGTCCCCAAGAGGTCTTATTAACTGTTCTTTATAACTGAGACTCTACTAAATGGACTTAACTTTTTTTAATTTTTCAAATAGTTTTGCTTACAAATTGTTATTAAGTGCTGCATATTTATACCATGAGTTCCTGGGTCATAGAGCTGTTTGAAGGCTGCTGCTGTAAGATATCAGCTATATCTGCTTGAAAGAGGATTATAGAGATAGCGTAGAAATATATGTATGATTTACTTTCTACATTTCTTGCTGTTAAAAAACAATGCAGTGAATCCAAGAGTATCTACTTTGCTAAGCATGAAATATGTTGGGAAGCCTCATACTTCAAAGCGATGAAACAAAAAGCTGTTGCTTTTTTCATTGAAAATTAAAACATTATTATGAGACTGAATTCCAGAAGCATAATTGACAATAAAAAAATTAGAATATATCAGAATTTTATAGATATTGCAAATAATTTATAAAAAGTAAGCTTTAGAAACATTCTACTTACGAAGATTTATTATAATTATACTAGATCTCTCAGATTAGCATGAATACTGATCTGACTACTCTGCTGATATTGTTATAGTCTGTGTCAATGAAAATTCTAAAGTCACAAAGTATTCAAAAGTAAAGCACTTATTACAAGCATCCTCCTATTTTTGACATTAAATGATTCCCATTTGTTTCTTAATTTATTTCTTTAAAACATTGGATTTCTCTGAATATCAGTCAAGTATAGCTCTTTATTGTCCTGTAGTTTGCCCTTGGTGGGAGTGAGTGGCATCATGAAATCTAAATTAACGATATAAAAGGAAACAAAACAGAAATATATCAGAAATACTGATTAATTTTAATCAATACACCTCTCTCTAAGCTTCAGTTTCCTCATCTGTAAAATGGGAATAATAATAGTAACTACCTCAGAGATTGTGCTAAGATTAAATGAGATATAAATGCAAATAGGGTGCTTAGCTCACTGGCATATGGTAAGTTTTCCAAAAATGTTATCTTCTACTCTTGACTATCATCAGCATCTTAAATATGGGAGGAAGCGGCCACTGGAACATACAACAGGATTCAGTTCAAATAGACAGTAAAGTATTATAAGCCTACTTTTAGTGCCAAGCTGAATGCTTCATTATTGAAATACAGAGATGGTTCACTCTATCAGAGGTGGCATCATATTGACTGAATCATTTAGTTGGGAGAAGTGGATTAATTGTAAGATGATCCACATATAGGTATTATATGCTTGTCTAAAATGTCGGCAAATCTTTTTGGCCTTGGCAGTTTTATATGTCTCACTTGCTTTGTTTTCTGACTATAAACAGTTGCTGCACATAGAAGACAAGAGACAATTCCTCTAACTTAAAATAGTCAATTACTCATTAGCTCTGTGTTTACCACTTCAGAGGAGGAAAAGCAGTTTGTGGTTAACTATCAAAAATAAAATCTGGGTTTTCACAACTAAGTTAGTGAGTCTGTCTCTACTTAAACATTAAAATGCCATATAATTCTATGGCGTATGCATATATAGACATATTTCTTTCATCTTTACAATTATATGTTATAAAATGGTGATAGAGCTTCCCTGGCTTATATAATAAAGCAAATATGCCTATAAATGACCCTAATAAAATGTCAGAATGGTAATCTTGGCAGTCACTTCTATAGGAGCAGTTATAAACCTCCCTCTCTCTTTTTCTCCTCCACAATTTTTTTTGCAGGAAGTGGTTAAGAAGCTTGTTCTGAATTGTTTGGTCAAAGCTACATAAATAGGTGAAATAAGTTAAATTATGGGTTGTGGACCCTAAGTTGTCAGAGAGCCTTGGGATGGTACTGAATGAATCAGATATCCAAAGCAGTGTTTAGTGAATATCAGAGTGGCAGTTTTGTTGTTTTTGACAACATGGGAGAGATCAGACTTAGCCAAAAGGCAAAAGAAAAACAAATTAGAATATATGGAAATATCACAGTACGATTTATTGTACTTCGTGTTCATTTTTAAAGGCGATATTGCTCTATCTTTTCAATAGGAAATAGTGAAAAGATACTTTGATGAGTCTTTATATATATATTGAGGTAGTAGTGCTCCTAGAGCTATGACTTTCATAATAAAAAGCCTTTGCTTTTCAACATAATAAAGGGGAAGCATATACACAGAGACTAGTATTATTAAACGTTTTAAAATCTGATTCTTTTTTCCTTGATATAACTATCATCGGAGGCAGAAATTTACCTAAAAACGTATTATTTGCAGTTATCACCATAGCTTGTAGGTAGTACAAAATCAAGAACTGGTGGGGTGAGGGAGGAAGGAATTTCCCTGAAATTCCAAATTGATTCTAACCTCTTCTCTTTTATGTTCATGCATTTAATTTCTCAGAGAAACTTCCAGTAGAGGCTAAGCAGCCATGGCACAAACAAGCTCAAGAGCTGGAAGAAGGAGCTGCTGTGTCAGAAGAGCCCTCGTAAGTTTTAAAACCACAAGTTGTTTTGCTTTTGAGGCCGATTGGTTTAAAAAGAAAGCAGTGCCCCACTGACTGTGGCTTTCATGGGTTCTGAACTAAGTGTAATCCTCTTACCAAGGGTGAAATGAGGTTTTGGGGCTGTCACATTGGAGATTTATCAGTTTCAAAGTGCTTCTCCAAACATGATTGCTCTCTAAATACTTTTCAATGTTGAAATAAGAAAATGAAGGTGTAGTGCCTACTCTTTTCTCCAAAATCTGACCTCCTCTGATCAAAAGGCCAGGTGAGAAGGCCCAGGCAGCATCTGATGATGTAACGTAGATTCGAGGTGGAAATCTGGGCAGCTTTTTACACTCTTTATCTTCTAGCTTTGCAGTATAGCCACTCATGAAAATTAAAGGTAAGTAAAATGTATCTGAGGGCAAAGGAAGCTTATTAGCTTTTCTTTTCCCTTTCCTGCTGGGATTGGTATCAGATAGATACCAGGTCTTTGCCCCACTCGATCCTAGTCCCATACCTGCTCCATTTTGTCAAGGACAATAAATTTGTAAGACCACTAGGCAGATACTTTCCAGATGCTTCATAAGAGGAAATAAGGAAGAGGCAAGTATAGATCGATTGATTGTTCAATAATGGTATATCGATTCTACTAGAAAACACTTATAGGTATCTCTGCTGCATCATTTTTAAAAATAAGGGGAAGCGCTTTATTGATGAATTTAATTTATGACAAGCAATTTCTCAAACTGATGATTTTCTAGATTAATTGATTTAATATAAGTACTAGGCTCTGCGCTATGCATCGGTACATAAGTCACGTTACTCACCCTCTAGGAGTTCATACTATAGCAGGTAGGATGTGAAATGATTTCCAAATTCAACCCATGGTTTAAATTTTACTAGAGATATAAATTAACATTGTAATCTATAGATTCAAAAGCAGTTGAGAATTTTCGCCAATTCATCCTATTTAAATCTAAATATGATATGTTTCGCCTAAACTGTGCCTGAATCACACCCTAACCAGCAAAAGATTGGAAAATAAATCCAAAATACAGATTGCTACAATAACCAGAGCTCATTTGTAAAGAAATGGTATTCACAAAAATGTGGTTCATAACATTAGGTAACACATTTCTTACTTAAAACTACAATAAGCAAAACATAAATTATTTCTGTAATATAAAGTTACTACAGCATCTTTTTCTACCTCTGTGAGAAAGCCTTTAAGAAAAAACAACTAACCATTGCATTACTTTGAAGGAAAGGCAATGGTTAAAGATCACAGTGCATACTCTGGTTTCTCTTCAGATCATATAAATCTTTCACCTTTTTTAAAATCACAGTGCTATGTTTACATGAATATATGAAGGCTTAAAACTTTTTGTTTCTCTCCTGCCAGTACCTGGCTTGACAGGCCTTTTTGCTGCTGGAGAGAGCAGTTCATTTTAGATGGGTATTAACTCTTTAATCTACTTATTCAAGGCACAGAAAGAGACTATGTGATTGAGCTAGTTACTCCTTATATGTATCCTTAAGTTAAATGTTTAAAACCAGATATGTATTATTTTACCTAAATAAATTTCACTCTCCTGTACACTGTATTTTATTATTTGGTCTAAAGCATAACCTTATATATAATATTGCATAATGACTGATGTTAAATAGTGTAACAAAGTTGAAATTAAATCAAAACATCTTACATCAATAATTAAAGATCTTTCTCAATACTAGATACCTCTCAAACGAAAGCTGTGAGTGGAGTTTAATGCTTCTGCAGAAGCAGTACATAGACCACGGCCAACCACATGTTATAATGAGTATTTTCCACGAAAGGTCTGATTAAGATGCATTATGTTTAACTTTAATCTTAATAAAATTCCTAAAGTAGTTAAAACACATAGTTTTAGCCGCTGAAACTATAGCCACGCATTAGATTATTAAATTTTACTCTTGGTGTAATGGAATTGCCATCTTGGCATGATTAATCTGAACTGAAGTAGATTGTAATTGGAGTGCTGGTGCCGGGGAAAGGAAATGTATACTATTATGCTCAGAACAATTACTTTTATACCAAAATGAAATAAATGACAGCTGTAGAATAATGTAATGAAAGGTATATGGTTTCCACATTTTAATACACTTTACATGTTTAGTGCACTGAACCCTAGGAAAGGTCCTACGTGTCATATTATTTTTTTTTTATTGATTTGAATTTAAAAAACATAATTTTGCATGGTCTTAATTCTTTCTTTTTTAAAACCACGTAGACTAGTTTCTAAATGTATGTAGCAACCTATAATTACTCTCAGTAGTATAATGAAAAAATGATATACTGTCAGCAAGGCTTTCCTTCCCCCCACCAAAGAGACTCACATTGCTTAAATTAAATGGTAATGTTTAGAAGCTGTGGCTGTCACTTCTGAACTACTACAGAGAAACAAGAACAGTGGCCCAGAACTATCATCTCTCACTTTGGCTTCAGCTAACATGGAGCGTTCTGTAGTAACACAACAAATATCATTTATTTCCTCTTATGTAAAATGAAAATGTCACCAGCCTGTCTCATTAAATAATACAGGAAAATCAGTAGCTTAAAATCTTTAGCACATGGAGATACTATTATTGAATTTTAGATGTTTTTTGGTAACCCCCAAATTTAAAAAAATCATTGTTTAGCACTCTGGCCAAATTGATGTTGGAAAGCAACCATTCAAAGATATGTTTAGAAGAAAACTATGATTAAAAACTAAAAACTGAGCTGCCAAGAAATAACTTTAGAGAACAGAAGCATGTATGGGTATTGTTTCGCTGAACTAAATGCTATACAGAAGATACAAATAAAGACATCACTCTCACAGAGAAGCCGAAATAAGTATTGAGATGGGGTCACGTTATGGAAATGTACTTAATATATTGTGATTCATTTTGTAAAGCTGCAGCTTCATTCAGAAATACTTTTAGATAGTGATTGTTTTTTCCTCAGCAACAAACCAGCATTAAGTTTTTTATTTATTAAGTTTTTGACTTATATGGTGCCAAAGTAAGAATATTATGATGAGTATATTTTCTTGATATTAAAAGTGATTTCCTAACCCATTTATGCAAGTCACACCCTCTAAACTGATTTTTCCCTGGTGGCCATGGTCTAATTCATGCACATGTTTTTATCAGGTTTTCCTGACAACTAGTAGCAAGAATCTTTAAGAAAGGTATTTTTGTCTCTCTACTGAACAGGACAATGTGAGCAAGATCCAACCTCAAACCAAGACTAAGCAATATGGAGCTTTAGACAATGAAGTTGATCAAGCACAGACAATTTTATAAATAAATAAAATAAAGTGAACTTGCTTCCAAGGATGCCAGCTGAGGAATCTGTAGAAATCCCTGCTACCTAATTGATACTGAAGGAATTATAGTTAGAGACAGACTTCTAAAAATAATCAGATTCTGAGAGAGTTGCATTTTTCCAAG